CCCTCAGAGAGCAGGGGCGGGGTCAGCAGAGCTCATTAACATTTAAAGGAAAATGCTACAAAACGGCTTGCTCTGAAAAGAGCTGTTTTTGACAGGGTGTTTTTTACACTACCATTGAGAAATCTTAACCAAACTATGTTACAGACTTTTCATTAAGAACCTAAAGAATCATATCAGCTTGTGGAAAATGGGCATCCGATGACCCCTTTAAAGAATATTCGCGTTGTGTTTGTCGGTCTGAATGTCCCAGGAATGCTTTAATTAGCAGAGAACAAAAAAATAAGACCATCAAAATCGTGTGCCCTCTATCTGTTTGGAAAAAGAAGCATTTCAAGTGCTGAAGGTCAAGTTCAGATGAAACCTCTCCTGATGTCTGCCGGCCTCAGGCTCCGTCGGCCAATCGGAACGCCCAATCCTGGCAGATGACCGGGGAGTGGGCCAATGGGGTCGAAGCGTGGGCGGGGCAGGATGACGGGCGCCTGGTCATAATCTCCGCCGATGATGCCGGGAGGGTACGGAGGAAAGGGAAGCGGAGCGGACGGGACGGGGGTGAGCGGGAAAATTGGGGGCACATGGGACGGGAAAAAGCGGCATCTGCCCCGGCGCTCATTCTCCTTCCTCTGCTTAAACTTCTTTCTGTAAAGCTGAGGGCAAAAAGAGTTTAGAAGTTACAACTGTTTACTTTATTGTTTGTTTAGGAGTTTAGAATTGCATTACTTTAAAATAAGATAATATAATATTCATTAGTTTGTCAATAATAGGTAATACAAAAATTGAAATTGCTTAATTAATTTAGTTATCATCATAAATGTGACCCTGGAGCACAAAACCAGTCATAAGGGTCGATTTTTCTGAAATTGAGATGTATGCATCAGCTGAAAGCTGAATAAATAAGCTTTCTATTGATGTATGGTTTGTTATGATAGGACAATATTGATGAAAATCTGGAATCTGAGGGTGCACAAAAATCTAAATATTGAGAAAATCATCTTTAAAGTTGTTCAAATGAAGTTCTTAGCTTTTGATAGTTTTGATATATTTACGGTAGGAAATTTACAAAATATCTTCATGGAACATAATCTTTACTTAATATCCTAATGATTTTTGGCATCAAAGAAAAATCTATAATTTTGACCCATACAATGTATTGTTGGCTATTGCTACAAATATACCCCAGCGACTTAACACTGCTTTTGTGCTGCAGGGACACATATTATTAGCGTTTTATAACTGCGTATCTAAAGTAACAGTTTCAGTTTGGTTTTTATTAATAATTAATATCATTATTAGAATATTAACCATTAATGTATTAATATAAAATTAATATATTTTAATAAATTGTAACATTATAAAATCACAAATTATTACCTATTGATCAGAATGATTATTTCATTCTGGGTATGGGGGGTTGGGACAATGAAATAAATGATAATAATGGAAAAAGCAGTAGATATATATAAAACAATTATTAATAATTTCATATCGTATATAAAAAATAAATCAATTGCTAAATTGAATATTATCATAAATTTGTTCAATTTTATTTAATAATTGCTACATTTTTACTCTTATCTATTTATCACCACGATCATATTTCCTTGGTATTATCAGTTTCATTTAGGTTTTTATTAATTCTTATATTTTTCCATTATAAAATGGAATATAATTACAGATTCTCATCTATTTATCAACTTGATTATTTCATTTAAAATTTTAGATTGTGTGCCGATTCATGGCTCAGTAAGAAATCAACTATAAGAAAAATGGATATATTAAAAATGCAATTCTAAATAATTTAATAATTCAAAATACAAATTCATAATTATTTAAAATTTGTTCAATCTGGTTAATTTAATAATTGCTATTTATCTATTATTGACTTATCTATTTATCAACATTCATTTCTCTGTATTATTAGTTTCAATTTGGTTTTTATTAATTGCTAAATTTTTGCATTATAAAAATCCCAGATTTTTTAATGCATTTATAAGCATTACAATTTAATTTTAAATAAACAAAATATAGATTTTGTCATGGCTCAGCGAGAAATCAATTATAAGAAAAATAGATACTTCAAAAAGGCAATTATTCATCATTTTATAATTGCATATAGCTAAATTGAATACTAAAGTGCTATTGATTTGTTCAATTTGGTTACCTCCTTCCAGTCAGTGTCTCTGTGTTGATTTCCTGCAGGAAAACACACTGCAAAACAACACAACACTCACATTACTTACACTTCATCGGTACACACACTGTCTGGTGTGTGTGTGTGTGTGAGTGTGTGTAAGTGTGAGTGTGAGTGAGTGTGAGTGTGTGT